TCCTCCCTTGACCAAAGACCTTGGGTCCAGAGGTGGCCCAGATGTGCATCCCATCCCTGATCCAACGCGTCCGTTACCAGGGTCAGGGAGGGCTCTGGTTCAAGGAAAGGGACCCATGCGCAGACCACCCGTGGGTCGAGCCACCATTGGAGGGAGTCCAACACTGGACGAGGTAACGTCACCACTGAGTGTAGGGAGTCCCTGACTGGCCAATAAACCCCTGCCAACCAAGATTGGAGAGGGCGCAGTCTGAGCCTGGCGTGTCTGACAACATAGGTACATGCTGCCATGTGCCCTAGAAATTTGAGGCAGCTTCTTACTGTGGTGGTAGGGTAACTTTGGAGGCCGAGAATGATGTTGGACAAAGTTCGGAATCTGGCCTCTGGGAGATATGCTCTGGCTTGTGTCGAGTCCAAAAGTGCTCCTATGAATTCGATTCTTTGTGTTGGAGAAAGAGTGGACTTGGCCGTTGAGTAAGAGGCTGAGGGAGCTGAAGGTGTGCCTGATGAAGACCACCTGAGCCGCCACGAGTGCTTTGTCCTGCCCTTGATGAGCCAATCGTCCAGGTAAGGGAATACCTGGATTCCTTGCCTGCAGAGGAAGGCTGCCACGACTGCCATGCACTTCGTGAAGACTCTTGGGGCTGCTGATAGACCGAAGGGTAGGACCGTGAACTGTAGATGAACGTCGCCGACGAGAAACCTGAGGTAACGCCTGTGGCGAGGGATTATCGCGATATGGAAGTATGCATCCTTTAAGTCGAGGGCGGCATACCAGTCTCCTGGATCCAGGGAAGGAATGATGGAGGACAGGGAGACCATGCGGAACTTGAGCTTCTTGACAAACTTGTTGAGACGCCGCAAGTTCAGAATAGTACTGAGGCCCCCTTTCACTTTCGGTATTAGGAAATATCGAGAATAGAAGCCCTTGCCCCGTAGTTCTGGAGGCACCTCCTCCACTGCCCCTGCTGTAAGGAGGGACTGAACTTCTTGAAGGAGAAGTTGCTCGTGAGAGGGGTCCCTGAAGAGGGACAGGGAGGGGGGCTGGTGGGGCGGGAGGGAGGAAAACTGAATAGAATATCCCTCCTCTACCGTGCGAAGCACCCAAGCGTCTGACGTAATCCGGGCCCACGCATGATAGAAGGGGGACAGACGTGATGAAAAGGTAAGGTTGGGAGGATCCAGAGATCTGTCCAGTAGGCCGTCCTCGACCGAACCCTCAAAATCGTGGCCTAGGCCCCTGTGGAGGCCTTGGTTGGGTAGAAGACTGTCCGAAGGGCTGCTGTTGCTGCCTCCTCCTGCCAGTCCGCGGTCTCCTGCGCACGGCATCACCTCGATTTTGAGGTTGATACGGACGTGGGGCCTGTTGCAGCCTAAACTGCCTACGCTGAGTAACAGGGGTGTTTAGGCCTAAAGAACGGAGGGTGGTCCGCGAGTCCTTTAGGCTATGGAGCCGTTTGTCTGTCTTTTCTGAGAAAAGCGTGGGCCCTTCGAAAGGTAAGTCCTGTATAGTCTGTTGGACTTCATGAGGAAGGCCGGAAACTTGAAGCCAGGCTCCGCACCTCATGACGAGACCAGTAGCCAATGTGCGCGAGGCCGAATCGGCTGCTTCCAAGGCTGCCTGAAGGGAAGCTCGAGTAATCAATCTTCCCTCCTCAACCAGGGATGAAAACTCGGTTCGTGAATCCTGCAGGAGGAGGTCCGTAAACCTAGACAAAGCCGAGCATGTGTTGTGTCCATACCGGCTCACTATGGCCTGCTGATTGGCAATACGCAACTGGAGGCCCCCCGTTGAATAGACCTTACGTCCGAAGAGGTCCAACTTTTTAGCCTCTCTATTTTTAGGAGTGGATCCCTGAAAACCTTGTCACTCCCTCTGGTTGGCCGCATCCACCACCAGGGAGTCCGGCGGGGGGTGCATGTAAAGATGTTCATAGCCCTTGGTTGAGACAAAATACCGCCTCTCAGTCTTTTTGGCTGTAGGGGCCAATGAGGCTGGAGTTTGCCACAAAGTGCTGGTTGTATTCGCAATGGTTTTTATGAGGGGTAGGGCCACCCTAGATGGGCCCGACGGGGCCAGGATATCAATTACAGGATCGGTGTCCACCTTGATCTGTTCCGTCTGTATCGAGAGGCTCTGGGCCGCTCGAGTAATGAGCTGTTGGAGGAGTCTACTATCCTCTAAAGCCGGAGCAGCAGAAGTTCCCACTACTGCCTCATCCGGAGATGAAGAGGAAGATGTTCCATGTAGCTGGCCTTCATCTAGCACGTCTCCCTGTGTAAGGGCCTGCGGCACACGGCACTCCGGCTGCGCGGCCGGTGCGGGCTCAAGATGCGGCACCGCGGCCGGTACTGGGGTCGGCACCGAACGCCGAGGAGTGCTGGGCGGTGCCTGCGCTGAAGGAAGCAAAGCCCCTGTCGGTGCCGCTGTTTGACTGGGGGTGCCGTAATGCCTTGTGGCACACTCCTGTCAGACGGCGGTGCCGGTGGTGGTGGCATTAGCGGCGGTGCCCCAGATGCTGAGGAGATGGAAGCGGTTCGTGAGCAGGGCCCAGACACCTGACCCACGGACTGATGGTAGGCCCATGGCATCCAAAACGGCCACTGTGGAGGTGGTTGCCACTCCTGCTGCTGATGCCACTGTGGCCGGTATGGTTGGGCACTCCTATGCAAGGACGATCTGCTCCTCGATCTGTTAGAACGGTAGGTGTCCGCCTCCGAGTCAGAAGTCTCTGAACAGGAGGACATCGGAGGAGCGGTACCCACAGTCGCCTGTTGGGGTGCTCGCGCCGGTGCCGCTACTGTGGCGCTGCGTGGAGAGTGCGGTGAGCGCATCGCCGGTTTACCCTTAGAATGATACTGGGGCCCGGCGGCAGCCGGAGGTTGTCTGCACCAGTGCGGCGATGCCGGCACCGGAACGTTCAAGAGGCGGCCTCGAATGCCTCAGGCGTCGATGGGAGGCGGACCTCCTCCATAATGTCCGGGGATCTATGGCGTTCCGGACTCAACCTTGCCCTCTCCAGGGCGGGAGTCAACGGGATGGCCAGATGGGTCTGCGGCGCGGGTTGCCCCGTAACAATCGTGGACTGCGCCCGACCTTTAGAGTCCCCGTGGGGAGATTGTTCGGTCTGCAGCCTGTTCTTTTTAGCCGGCACCGGCGAAGGAGAGCAGCGTCTTGTCAAAGACGATTTCTTATGCGCCGACTCTCTGCAGTGCCGGGGTCTTGGGGCCTTGGCCTCACGACCTATCTCCGGTGCCAGGGCACTGCACACCGAGGATGAAGTGCTGGGTGCCGGCTCTGAAGGTCCGGGATCCAATTGCGGCCGCAGTGCCACCTCCATTAGGAGGACTTTAAGTCTCTGCTCTCTATCCTTGAGAATCCTGGGGCGAAAAGCCCTGCAAATAGGACACCTGTCCCTTTGATGGGTCTCCCCGAGGCACCGCAAGCAGGAAGAGTGCGGATCACTTTTTGGCATAAACTTCCCGCAGTCCCGACAGAGTTTAAACCCTGGTGACCCGGGCATGCCCCAGCAGGGCGATGAAAAGTTGGGGAAAACCCCCCCAACTGACACCTAACTATCTAACAGTAACACTAACTACTAAATAATAAACTATGTACAAGAACTAGAGAACACTGCCACAATTGCTAAAGAGCAAGAGAAGTTCCAGCTAGCCGTCACTGGTGGTAAGAAGGAACTGAGATGGTGGGGGGTCGGCTGGCCCCTATATACAGCGCCATAAAGGCACCACTACAGGGGGCGCTGGAGCCGACCCTATGGACGCTGCTATGGGAAAATCTTCTGGCTGGCGTGCACGCGGCGCGCACACACCTGCTTGGAATGGACATGAACAATCACTCAAAGAAGAATGACCAATACATTAGATAAGAGAAGCTAAAGGGTTTTGAGCAGCAGAGCTGATCTAATCAAGACACAGCCACAGTTTTTACTATACAACTCTGACTCCCCCTGATAATCAGCTTATGGTGAAATTGCTTTACAAACTGAGGTGGATATTAGCTAAGAAAATGAGACCGCTACCTGCTTACTCCTGAGCCTGCAGAAATCAGTAAGGCATGAGGAGGTCCCCAGGCTCTGCATTATCATTCAATAGATTTTTATTGTTAATATGCTTCAGATCTGCTGTGCCTAAGCTCAAGGGATCCAAGCAAAACCAACCCTCACCTGATTGTGCAGAGCACTGCAGATGGCTTGAAACTTCTCTTTAGGTAGAGGGATCTTATATTCAAAAGAGACCTTCAAGAGCTGGCTCAGACTCTGCAACAGAGGGTGAAAGTCAGATGGTGGGCACACACAGGAGCAATATGTAGTGACTGAAGCAGCTTCAGGGGATTCATAGATTCCAAGGCTGGAACGGATTATTGCCATTGTCTAGTCTGACCTCCGGTACAACACAGGCCATAGACCTTGCCCAGAATAATTCCCAGAGCAGAGCTTTTAGAAAAACATCCCAATCTCAATTTAAAAACTGTCAGTGAGGGACAATCCGCCTCAGCCCTTGGTAAATGGCTCTAATGGTTAATTATCTAACCATTAAAAATGTACGCCGTATTTCCAGTCTGAATGTGTCTAGCTTCAGTTTCTAGCCATTGGATCAAGTTACACCTTTCTCTGCTAGACTGAAGAGCCCATTATAAAATATGAGTTCCTCGTGTATGATATTATAGACTGTAATTAAGTCACCCTGTTACAGGACAGGTCCACCCCGTCAGTTGGTACCAGGTTGTGGAGGAATTGAAGTAGATCTGGGGAGGCCCCACTGGCCTAGTCTCCCTAGTCACCGCAGCAGTCCTGGCTCCTAGGGCAGCATAGCCTAATGGTCGGGATCAGTGCAGCAGCCCTTCAGTGAGGGTCCACGGCCCAGCAGCGTGAGTCACTAGAGCTGCCCTTCTGGGTATGGCAGTGCGGCCTAGTGGCCAAAGTCAATAGAACCACCTCTCGCGGTAGGGCAGTGCAGCCTAGTGGCCAGAGTCAATGGAACCGCCCTTGGCAGCAGGGCAATGCGGCCTAGTGGCCAGAGTCAAAAGAACCACCTTTTGCGGCAGGGAAGTGTTGCCTAGGCCAGCCCTTCTCCACTGGCTCCTACCTATTCCACAGGTCCCAGCTCAGGGCCCTGTCTTGCCGCAGGGATATCTGCCACCAACTCAGCGGGGATCCTTCCCAAACATGCCGAGTCAAAGCATCGGTACCTCAACTGGATCAGTGCTTAGTCAACCTAGGCTACTTCCCACCCGTTCTTCCGCAGCTGGTAGTCTCCGGGATTCTGTGGTCTCTCCTCCATCTCTGGCATTGGGTGGCTGGGGGTCGGTTGCAGCCACAGTCCGGCTGGCCTCTGAATCCTGGAGCTCTGGCAGTCTCTCTGCGGGAGCCTGCAATGCACCTCTGCTCCCTTCGGCAGTCATCTCAGCCTGAGCTGAGCGGCTCTTTCATATCCTGGTTCCAGCTGAAGCATGCCCAGCAGAGATGGGGTGGCATGGCCTCCTGGCCCACAAAGTATGATTAACCCCTGCTGAACCAATGCGGGGTAGGTAAACCCCATCACATACCCTTTTACTGTCTGTTTGTTAAACTAAATAGATTTAGTTCCTTGATTCTACCACTGTAAGGCATGTTTTCTAATCCTTTAATCACTGTGGCTCTTCTGTCAATATCCTCTCCAATTTATCAACACCCTTTTTGAATTGTGGGCACTAGAATGGGACACAATATTCCCACAGTAGTCACACAGGTGCCAGATTTAGAGGTAAAATAACCACAGTACTCCTACTTGAGATTCCCCTTTTCATGCATCCCAGCTTTAGCTTTTTTGGCTACAGCATGAGTTTGTGTTCAGCTGATTATTCATCATGACCCCCAAAATCTTTTCAGAGTCACTGCTTCCCAGGACAGCATCCCCCAGCATGTAATGTATGGCCTAAATTCTTTGTGCCTAGATGCAAACATTTACATTCAGCCGTATTTAAATGCACTTTTGTTTGCGCCCAGTTTACCAAGTGATCTAGATCACTTTGAATAAGTGAGCTGTCCTCTCCATTATTTACCACTCCCCAATTTTTATCTCATCTGCCAACTTTATCGGTGATGAGTTTATGTCCTCTGCCAGGTTATTGATTAAAAAGATGAAAATCTAATTCCTTCCTGCAGCTAAACACTTTTCTCCTTTGCTGCTTGAAGCTTCCACAATGTCTCTGATGCCATCTACATAATTTACTATGTTTAAACAGTTGTGTAGTGCCCCGATGCTATCAAACAAGTCCATGATCCGTTAGTTCCCTCCAAATCATGGGTATTTCAACCCCAAAAGTGACCACATACTCTGTACCAGAAAGCTTCAACCAACAGAGATGGTGAGTAAATATCACTACCAAGAAGTTATAGCTGTCTCATGACTTCATTTACAACTGTGTAGCCCCACTGAAGACAGAATATGGCCCATTACTTCTTGCTCATGTGGTACTGAGGTAGTTGAAATAGAGAGACAAGGGGAGTGAGACAATATCTTTAATTAGATTATCTCACCCACCCTCTCACAGTGCAGTTGGGGGCCAGTGGGGGGGGGGAGAGTGGAGAGGTGCTGTGGGAATACAAGGTAACTGGGTGTGTTGATGTTGCCCGTGTTTACAGGTCGGAAATCTCCATCCCCGTTCCAGGGCTAACTGCACCTCTCACTCCTTTTCTGAGCTGAGCGCATCCCCCCCGGGCCTTGAGCCCTTCCCTTTCCTGAGATGGGATTCCCTGAGTCTCCCACTCTTAGCCTGATTCTCGGGCTACAGCACCCCAAGTATCAGCTGTGCTTCTCTAGCAGGCCCTACAGAAGTTGGCCCCTGTGGTTCAGTCCGTTGGGTGCCTTGACCCAAAACCAAAGGATTGTGTGTTGTTAACAGTAGGAACAAAGCGCAGCAAGAGAGAAACTAATTTTAGAACAGCAACTGGCCTACAGGCGAAACTCCCAGTGGTGGGAGCTTATATGCAGACAGTAAACACTAAGC